ATGTTCATGCATTGTTACTTCAATGGGTTATCTTACTTTTTAAATGCTATGTTCATGCATTGTTACTTCAATGCTATGTTACTTTTTAAATGCTATGTTCATGCATTGTTACTTCAATGCTATGTTACTTTTTAAATGCTATGTTCATGGATGGAATTTAATAACAACTAGACCCTTCTTGTAAGTCATCTATTAAAGCTACTGTGTTGCCTTTGAAGGAAGGTGTCTATGTTTTTACACCATGAAGTAAATCTGTCTCTTTCTTTGTAGCTGTCTTATTCCTTAATACTTATTAAGCAATTATCTCTTTCTGTGTATGGGGGTGGGTGTCTTTTAAATATACAAATGATCAAACTATCTGACCAACATTATCTATTGCCCTTATGTAACCCAATGGTTCTTGCTTGTGGCTCATTTGAGAGCAAGGGAGCTATATTTCACTGCAACTCACTAGCTTCATTAAAGCAATTGTTTGTATTCTCTCCAGATGTTGATGTTTATTGAGTGAGCTTTTATACCACAAGGTTATATTTTATTCTGCTTTTCTCTGTTACTAGAACAGTGTGAGATAGATTTAATGAAGCTGGTGTACATTGTTGTTTCCTTATTATTTAGTGAAAAACAATATATAAGCAGAACTTGTTGATGGTTGCATTTTATTAATATGTAATGAAAAACAGTTTCCAAACAGACTTATTTATTTCTACTGAAAATTGAAATCCTTGTAGCGTATCTACTGATAGACTCTATTTTTTCAATTGATTTGAAATAATTCTGTAGTATGCCACAATAATACAGAAAATAAAGAATCGAAAATGCTTACGCAGGTTCCACTATAAATTCAACTTCCAGCTCTTCTTGTGTCTGTCAGAAAGAAAATTGTAAAATTGAATTTGAAATGGTTGTAGAATCCTCCATTTAACATCATTTTTAAGCACATGCACACAACTTCACCTCATATTAAAAGTTGGTCAATGACATATTGAAAAATGATGTAAGGATGAAAATTGGAAATTTGTCAGCAAACAATTCACTTTTGTATCAAACACACCTATATTTTTCATCAATGATAAGAAAATTAACATGCAGTATACTCACTCTTACAGTACGATATTTCTCACCTCTGGGTCACATTTAAAATTCATAAGAACTTTCTCATTATCAGGAAGACGAGCTACATCAAAATTGATAGTGAAAAGGTGATCATCTTCAGTGACAGCATCTGAATCATACACAGAGAACTCTAGCACATTCTGTGAAGAATAAGAAATATATTATATTGCAGGCTTGAAATTTTTGCTTTATTGCCATTTTTCAATAGAAGTATGCAAATAGCAGCCATGATGAGGCAGATGCATCTGTGGGAAGCAAGTATTGGATCTATACAGTGGCCCAAGTCAAAATGGAGGACAGTGTCAAATGATTGAGCTATGATAACTTTTATAGCATGACTCCAGCTGGAAGAAGTGGGAAATCCTGATTTTGAAACTGGGATAGATAAATATTATTTTAAGATTCTGTGGAGTACTTGGTATTCTCCAAGTTTGGTTTCTTAAAGACATCTTATTACCCAACTAGGCAATAACTTCTCTGTTAGAAGGGAGTTGGGTTTGTTCTCTGTTTATATACAGTAGCTTTCCCTGTGTTTA